TCAGATTCTCTGTTTTTTTTTATTGTAAAAATTATCGTCACTATTTTTAATGTATCCATCAAAATTAAATGAAACGCTTATGAGGCGTGCACTTTTGGGTTTTCCAAACTATTTTAAACTATTATGAATATTTAAATTATTTAAGTATCTCTTTTGTGATTTCATTTCACCTGATGTTAAGTAGATGTTGTGGCTCATGGAGAGTAATACATATCCTTGATTAAGAATAGAGATGCGTTGTCACCCTTGTTTGTGATGAAATGTCTCGTTATCAGAACCAGAACACAACACTCAAGGCGAAAGGAGAAAGGGGTCTCCAGCACGACTAGCATGAGATGAGGACAAAAAAAATTATCCCCCGATTATATCCACTGACAAGAGATGAAATTATCTTGTCCTTATGTAAGAGCACGGTAACGGGGAGAAGTATATCCCCGTTTGACATAGCGAGTAGACATATATCCCCCATCCGTAGCATGGAGCAAATAAAAGATAAAAAATTATGCTTTTTGACATTTGATAGGGACAATTTTATCCTAGTTAATTCCACGTGGGTTTAAGTTTATATTCATACAAAAAATTTATCTACGTCTAAGTCTATCTCCCATTTTATCTACTGTGTGTATTATATCCACCGATGTGCCTTCGGGCACGTGTTCGAAAGGTTGATAAAACTAAGCGAGGGGATAAACATTTTCTCCTTTCTCCGGGGATAAAATTGTCTCCTGCCCATGCTAGCCTTGCTGTTGTTTTTAATGTATATTATCATCTCTTCACCATAATATTTTTATCTTCATAAATGTCATTAGAGGATTATGAGCGTCATTTGTAAATAATTAAAAAAAAATCATCAGTGCTGAATTGAGATTCTATAACATTATTATAAGATTTTATCACTAAATGTTAAAAATGAGAAAACTGTAAATATAAGGCTTCGTTTGGAGATATTAATCTGAGAATAATATTCACACTTTTGAATTAGCATCGTGTAATATCATTATAACCCTAACACACCTAACACAAAATACTTCCTACAAGGTTTATTGGGTGACAACCTTAGGCAAGAAATAGTACGTGCCGGATCACTTTGGGTGGAAATTCAAACGCTTGTGCTCACTTTATTTTACTCATTGCTATGGATAGTGGCTAAAAGAGGGGACGTGAAAGGTACAGTCGAACTCATATATGAAATCATAACTTTAAGTATAGTATCTAAAGTGAAGTTTTTGGTACGTGTTTTTCATTCTTAACTAAGTACTATACTTTACGATATTTGTTCGTGAACACCCTTTCTTAATCCTCTGTTGTCAAAAAAAAGCAATTCTGCTATCAGCAATTCAACTATCTGATAATTGGTAAACAGTCATATACCAACGCTACAATTTGTCAATCGGCATGCAGTTGATTGGATTGTCTGAACATCTCATATTTTTTGTAGGGGCTCGGGATATGAGATATTGTAGTTTTTAAAACATACATTCATATGCAGCCATCACAATCTAATGTATAAAAATTAATATTTGTTTGTTAGTATTTTGTGCGCTGCCATACCATTCATCAGATTGCGCTAAAGCTTTGTCAACTTATTGCTTACACATACCTACGCGAAGTTTATAGGCATAGTTAGAACTGGTAGATGGCGCTGTTGCGGAATCCAATGTCATCCGTGCGAAGCCGGGGCATATCGCTAGTAGTAAATAAACATTTTAAATTAAATGAATGCGAAGCAATACTGTTAACATTACCAACTTCATCCGCATATATTGATACTCAGTGCATTATATTTCTTTATAGGTAATTCCTACCTATAGATTAACAGATTCGAAACAAATTATCAATAAAAATATAATAAAATAATTGACATTTATTTTCCGGTTTGTTATACTGTAGTAAATATTTTTGGGTTTCTTTCAATTGTTTTAGCACTTAGCTATGTCGTATATCTTTTTGAACATTTTAATTTGTAAATTATAATATAGTAGTTCTATTAATGTAAAACGGAACCACAACATCAACTGTTTATTTTATCAATTTTCGTTTTGTTTTTAAAGTTACTATTATTTCGGATAAAACATAGCGTAGTACCTAGTAGTAAAACATCACTCCTGCAACTGCTCTCTATTTATTCGTAAGTTTCATTACAATCGGTTAAGACATTGTGAAGATTCGACGAACAGACAGATAGACAGACAAAAATTTTTACGCATGTCTTAATGGTGTACGATTAACCCCCTCAGCACAACTAAAGGCATTTATTTCGATACTAGCTGTTCCCGGCGACTTCGCCCGCGTGTAATTTACATTAGTGGCATAGGGAATATTGCAGCTCCATAAATGAATGTGTTAACATATATAGAGGCATCTATTACACTCGTCGTAGCTTACGTGCCCGACTAATGCTCATACTTAAGGATCAGCAGTGAGCTGGATACAGTTTCACAGACAGTATAATCACAGTACAACAATATTAACGCTAAAAAATAGTAACAATACTACTGTATTTACCCTTATTACTAGTAACAAGGCCATCCCATCTTAGGTCTCTGGGGTTGTTTGTCGTGCGTTTTTATTATCAATCGACCACAACATCTACTTACCGTCAGGTAGACTGTGTGCTGGTCTGTCACACTTCTAAACAAAACAAGATTCGATATTTGACTATTTATGTTTCATAAAATTCGAACCATGTCATGTAAGTTATAGATTACAGGAATTATATAATTTTTGAAATTGCGCGAAGATCCGTGTATCGAATATATATTTCTATGCATTGAAATTTATATTTTATAGTTTATAATTGTAATGTGTAATTTAGGGTTTTAATTGTTTTCCGCGGAACCCTAATTCTTTATCTTAAATAAAAGTAACCTAAGTTACTTCTTATAACATCAGCTATCTGCCAGTGAAAGTCCTGTCAAAATCGGTCCAGCCATTTCGGGGATTAGCCGGAACAAACAAACAGACAGACAGATTTAGTAAAAAGCTGTTATTTTGACATTCAAAACGGACACTTCAATTTTATTTAGTTGTATAGATTACAGCCAGACACATCAATTTTATTTATATAGAATGACATATATTTTTCTGGAGACGTACGTTGCTGCTGTTATATAAATGCTATTTACTTACAACAAATAAAATTAACGATGGAAAACTGTGTAAGCACAAATACTTACATAGCCACCATCAAGAGTATAAACATAATAACATCAAGTTAAAATAACGTCACAGTCGCATACCCTTGTTCAAAGGACATCTTATTGCCTCAGCCGTCTACCAATAGACTGTCTTTGTAAAATATAAGTAGTTACTATCTCATTATTTCTGCCTTCTCATGTGTAAAGGACACTGGAGTTACTTTTAAGTTGTCAGTTCTTCAATGTTTTGCACTCGTAAACTTTTTGGTAAGGTACGTGAGGGGTCATTATGTTTCACGTCTCGGTATAAGCGTGGCGTGAGGTAAAGGAATTTGTAATTCTACTAAATTGGATGTTTCTTGTGTTAAACTAAGTTTTTAATAGAAGAAACTACAATTAACTTGAAAATTATTTAAGAATGTTGCATATTAATATTGAATGTTGAATATTTATACGTGGTAGAGTCATGCTGCAGCTATATCAGTAGTATAGTTGTAGCGTGAATGGGTCGGCTCGACCGGGGAAGGACCACACTCTCACATAATACCAGCGTAAAATAGCAGTTTAACACTACTGTGTTTCGTATGGTGCGTGTAGAGAAGCGGAGACCCCCTTTACTTGAAAAGAGGCATTTCATCTTAGTCCTCACGGGTGGCAACGCATCTGCATTTTGATTCTTTATTGAGGATAGATGTAGATGTCTATGGGTCACAGCAACCACTTACCAACACAGGTGGACTGTGTGATCGTTTGTCACCCTATCCTTTAAAAAAAATGTTTTCTTACGTTTACGCTTTTCTTTAAAACAAATATTGAAACAATATAGTCGCGTCATAATTTTGTGTCTATAATGGACTAGGTTCTCGAGTGGCAGCCTCGTACCGGTAGGCGAAGTGTAGGGCGTCCCCCCACGAGATGGAGTGACGACCTGGTAAGACATGCAGGAAGTCGATGGATGCAGGTGGCTCAGGACCGTGCTTTGTGGCATTCTTTGGGGGAGGCCTATGTTCAGCAGTGGACTTGTGAAGGGCTGTAATGATGAATGGACTAGGCAGGCTATGTATTTATCTCGAAGAACCGACAATCGATGCGGAAAAAATCGAGAGACAACCTGCTAAAAGCGGAGTTTAGTGCATACTTCTACTGGACTGGATCATGACCGTGTATTGCGGTATTTCTTTACGGAAGACCTATTTTCAGCTGTGGACATGTAACAAGTTGCAATGATGATACTCGTACAAGAGTAGTTTGATAAACATTAGTGCCGTAGGGAATATTACGGCTCCATAAATAAATGTGTTAATATATGTAAAGGCATCTATTCCACTCGTCGTAGCTTACGTGCCCGACTAATGCTTATACTTCAGGATCGGTAGTGAGCTGGATGCAGTTTCTCAGACAGTACAATCACAGTACAACAATATCAACGTTAAATAATAGTAATAATGCTACTATATTTACCCTTATTACTGGGCATCCCATCTTAGCTTTCTGGGGTTACATGTCGTGCATTTTTATTAGCAATCAACCACAACATCTACTTACCGTCGGGTAGACTGTGTGCTGGTCTGTCACCTTTGTGGATGCCATAAACGATCCAGTTTACCGTCAAGTTTGCAGCGAGCTTGAAGCGGCGCTCAGTAAACTTGAGGGTGTATGGCTATCAGTGTGCATGACAAGTCTACTTGAAACAAAAATTGAATTTCGATTCTGCCGACTTGATCAAGCTTGCAGCGTCATGCAAACTTGAACGTGTGTATGAGCGGTGAAATATGCATGACGGTAGTCGGAGCAAATAAGCGAGAGACGCCATGGTTTCAACTCATGCAAACTTGACGGCGAACTTGAACGTGAGTGGTCTATATGGATGCACTGCAAACTCGACGCCGCTTCAATCGCGCTGCAAACTTGACGGTCAACTGGATCGTTCTACTAAACAAAACAAGATTCGATATTTGCCTATATATGTTGCATAGAATTCGATCTATGTCATGTAAGTTATAGATTACAAGAATTATATAATTTTTATAATTGCGTGAAGGTTCGTGTATCGAATATATATTTCTATGTTTCGAAATTTATATCTTATAATTTATATTTTATAATAACTAGTGTAGTCAAATGTTTGGTTGGTTGGCCTCTGTTAGTGATTGTGTAACTTCAAAATGACATATTTGTTATGTCGATACAATGGTCCATAGTTTTCCTAGTGTCCGATAATATTAACAAAGGACATATATAATATTGTGAGTATTATTCACAATATTATTTTATTATTTATGGTTTAGTGTCTAAGAAGAAAAATAACTGAATCTGATAGATGGCGTTGACGATATTTTTAATTTACGCTGTCAAAAGTGAATTCGGAATTAAAGTCATCGCGCCACTTACCAGAAAGTATAGAAAATCTGTGGAGTCAGCTAGTTGTATAATAATTGTTTAACTTTTAATATAATATGCTATTGCAGTTTTTATATCAACTACTACTATTAATGCTTACACTTTTTTTTAACAGTCAGATTAAAAATAGGAGCTCTTATGTAAAATCTGGAATAATATATTACTGCAAATTAATCTTGAAAAAATAAGAAAATATATTATTAAAACTTCTCAAAAAAGAATGAAATAATCAGGCCTATTTTCTATTCTGTGACGATACTTACGTAACACACCTCAAATTATTAAGTTTTCATTAAGACTTATAAGAAAGTTGGATTATATTCCAATTAGATTTGAGGCGTATGTCTGGAATACGTAAAGACATCGACCCTACTAGACAAACGAGGTTTATTCTTATATGACATTGCTCAAATTAATGCGTATAAAATGAAATTACCTTTTTGAGGTTAACTTTCTCATTTCAGAAATTACACATGTACATTGCTAGATTCCTAGGTAATTATCACTAATAACCCATGACCTTATCTTCGAACTAACCTTCTTCTCTTTCTTTATCAGCCTCACTGCCAGACATGGGTTTCCCCCATTATACGCTTTCCCCCATTTGAGAAATGGCAACCACAGTTTGAGATGTTTTGTAACTTTAAAGTTGCTCCCGTTGCCGTATAAGTATTTACATATTACATAATATACTAACATCTTGAATATACCAGACGGTATAGCGTCACCTATTTCTTATGGGTCATCAGGTCTTTCAGACATTTTTCATAACTGTCTCTCAGGATACTACTACAGCGCCAGCCGGCGTTGGATGTAGAGTTCTATATGCAAAATATTTTATACATTAATGCAACAAAAATATTATTGAACAAGTTGTGACCGTATCTAGAAGTGGTAAAACCACGTTCCAGCTATAGTATGTAGCACGAATGGGGAAGACTCGACCGGGGAAGGACCACGCTCTCACAGAATACCAGCGTGAAACTGCAGAATAATGCTGCTGTGTTTCGTATGGTGAGTGTAGAAACTGGAAACCTTTTTTACTGGAAATAAGGCATTCCATTTTAGTCCTCAGTAGTGACAATGCATCTGAATTTTGATTCTTAATTGAAGATAAATATGGATGTCTATGGGCCACAGCATCCACTCACCATCGAATGGACTCAGATCGTGTGCTCGTTTGTCACCCTTTTTCTATAAGAAATCAAACGCTTCCTGAGGTCTTATTTTAAAAAAGTTAGCACCAACGCTAGGATTATCTCCAGTATCTTGGAGGCGTTTTACATGCATAAATAGCACATGGACAAGCAACCAAATGCAAAACAACTATTTGTAGTGCGGGATTAGAGCACGGGACTTACAGCGCTAAGATCAAACGCGAAGTCACGTAATGAAGCCGTCAAGCCATTATGTCTAGTTAGTTTATGTGATTCGATTTTTTTAGTTGAAGAAAAAGTTTTATGAAACGAAAATTTAACCTAAAATGAGTAGGTAATGATCTTTTCTTAAATAATATATTGTATTATTTTTGGCAAGAAAGAGCTATGTTTTTGTACATGGCGTTAGTTAATTATGACATAAATTTTATGTAATAAATTTTACCGCGTATATAAATAATTTTCTAATCCTTTGTGTGACAAAAATAGATAATATGTTCATTCAAATGGCACATAATGGTCCCTTGTATGGCAGGGGGCGACGCGGCGTGGGTGGAGCGTGAGCGAGAGCTGTGTTTGCGAGCGAGACGACAAATCGTAATAGTCGGACATTAGAATGGCGTCACAGTTAAGGACATTGCTTAACGACTGTGTAAACGCATTTACCATAGCAGGTAGGTGTATACGTCTTTAAATAAGATTTGGCGTTGTCGTGGTAAAGCGGTGGTAATTCTGATTTAAAGAAGTATACACACATGCTATGGTAAATGTTAAAAAATAAGGTAACCTTACTATTGACGTTGTGGTCCTGGGGTAGAACCCAATATTTTCGCAGAAATACCTATTAACTAGCATTTTTTTAGTATGGAAATATAACGATTGTTCACTTGTGTGACACTATGTCTTATGCCTTAGTGCTTCTGTTTTCGAGGACATTTGGCATAATAATGGTCTTAGTTCCTGGGTAAGTAATAGGTACAAAATTAGACTATTTTACTACATTTTTAAAAATGGAATTTTTATTTTGGTGATATCACTTTTTAAAATCCGTCTCATACCTAATAAGATTCTTTGGAGAAGAAACGACCAAACAAACTCTAATTCAAATACGCCTTATTAGCTTGATTTGTATGTGTGATAATGATGATGTATATATTATGTATGCATGCATGTATGTTTGTGTGAATGTAATGGAATTTTATAATGCAGTTTTCACCCACTTCCAAAAGTCTGAATATTCTGAAAATTCTCAGACATAATATGTGTGAACCTGTAAAAATAATATAAAATGTAGTTCCCACTAGGTTGATCTCGGCTCATGATCTTTGCGGGTGGTTTTAGTTTTTTTCAACCTCTAATATTATAAAATTAAGGTAATTTAAAAAATATCTATTGAATAGATTTGCAACTGCAAGTAAGTTCTCTAAATAAAATAAAATAAAGTGTATCGCCAGCCCAAGTTGCTTATGGATTGTGAATTTTTTAAAATTACATTAATTTTATTATTGCTTGTATAAACTAATAACAAAATTAATGTAACTTTAAAAATAATAAAATAGTATTGTATAAACGAATAATAAAATTAATGTAATTTAAAAATGTAATACATCCATATGCAACTAAAAGTAAGTTCTCTAAATAATATAACATTGTATCGCAAGCCCGAGCGGACCAGCCCCCATGAGCAGCTTATTGTTCACAAGTGTCATGCATGTGTCACCCAGATAACTTTCGATAGTATTTAAAAGTTGTTACAGAGGCCAAAATAAGACAAGACAATATCATGCCCATGATGATAACATATATTACATAATATAATATGAATTAGTAAGACAAATGTGAGAGAAGATGTATAACACGTTCGTAAGAGATCTAGCGCAACAACAATTATAGTTGCAGATAAAGCACTTGCTTCTTGATGTTTCAAAGCAGCCTTAAAGGTGCAAGATAGTAAACGATCATCACGCTTAGTAGGTGAACCGATGATAGCAGTACCGATCGTCAGTCTATCTACCACGCGTGACTATCAAAACAAATCCTCTATACAACGAGAAAGGTCCATGTCTAGCAGTGGACTTTTCCAAGCTGATTGATCCTATAGAAGAAAAGTATTTAAAATCTTAAGTATTAGATAATTGTTCATATTCCCAAAAAACTCATTCTTACAACATTTATATTCCACGGCTGTACAATGTCCTTTCACAACTTTGACTCTACTCCTCATTCACGATTGAGAGCTTTATATCAGGCATAAAATTCCTATCACTATCACTACAGTCCATCACAAGTTCACTGCTGAATATAGGCTTCACCCATAGTTTCCCACAAAGTATTTTTCCTCTTTCTTGATTTTAAGAGTCACATATATCGCTTTGATGAGCACAGGTCTGATTACTTATTGATTTTCAAGCAGGAATGAGTCCAGAGCGTTGCCCCATTGCGAATTAGCGGCCTTTGAATGTTTCCGAAATATTTTTAATTTTTTTAGTCGTGCTGGTTTTCTCACGATGTTTACCTTCATCGCAGAGACCGTTGACCATTGAAAATTGTAATTAATAGTTTGATTGATGCTGACGGAGATCGCACTAAGGCTAGTCGCGTGCTATGAAATTTAATGCGATCACTATAAGTGAATATGCCTGCACTATCATAGTTCAATTTTAAGCTTGATTATTAAACCGTCTGATACTGCCATTGTCAGTTCGTTTGCCCAGGGTGGCTATTAAGGCTAATCTTAACTAAAACAGGAGCGGTCCATATTTAGCTGTGAACTTGACGGGCTGATGAAACAAAAGTTACCACTAAATGACGTTTGTTAACCCGCTAAAACAGAATAAAGTTTTAGCGGTTTAGCAAACTTCATTATTTCCTCACTCCATACTTCTTGTTAATGAGAGTAGAATATAACCAGCTGTGGAAGGATTGAATAAAAGGATTAATTCGTCTCATTTTTTAGTAAGCATGATGAGGACTGTGCTGCGATATATATCGAGATTGTATAGGCTGAAACTTCACTAAATGACTATAGCCATTTCTGGGAGATATGGAACAACTAATTCGCTGCGCTGATTCAGGACGTCTTGGTGGACTTCACATCATGTCCTTGATATATTTTTGTTCGCCAGACATGCAGGTATTCTCACGATGTTTTCTTTCACCATGAAACCGAAACCTGGTAAATAATTACTTAAAATTGTTGTTAACAATTGCATTGGTGCATCGCATCGCATCGTGCTCGCGTTAAGTTTACAGCGAACGCTTATCTCCTGGGCTACGGCTCTGTTACTGGTGTAGTCTGTTAAATGTGTATCTGTCGATTTATTTTACATATACATATTTGAGTAATTAAAACCGTAGCATAATTTACATTATCGACATAAATACATAGATTAATTAACAAAAAGAGCCCACATAGGCCCGTTCGGATTGCGGGCGCCGAGTCCGCCCAATGATTAACGAGCATCTTTCCGGCCCCACGTCACATGATTAATACGTAACGGCGCATTGTGGCTCTTTGTAGATGTGCGGCGACTGCCAGCGACATATATACATGCTTCCATATAAATATAGACAAAGTAATGTATCTGTATCGAACAGGTCTGTGCAAAATAAACAAGTTTCTATAACGTGAAATATTTCGCCTATTCATGCTAAATTGTTAGTGTTATGTTTTCCATTTATTACTCTCTTTTTAAATGGTACCAATCATCAACAATGTTTTAAACGCTAAAGTCACGACGCTGTAGTTATATTACATCAGCACCGCTCTCACAGAAAACAAGCTTTAAGGAAGCGGCATAATACCGCTGTGTTTCGTATGTTGTGTGACAAGAACCGAATACCCTCTTGATTGGTAACGATGAATTTCATCTTTGCTTTAAGGGGCCGTGTAGTGGCGGTGTAAGAATATTCACTACCCCATATCATCCCATGGATATCGTAAGAGGCGACAGATAAAACAAATCGGGAGATGGGCAACAGCGTTTTCCTAATAACGACTAAAGTTAAAAAATCTGCGATACTGATTTGTAGTCTACGCTAATACTTGTTCCAGTCGGGAATCAAACTCACTGTATCATCATCATGATCATCATCACAGCCCTTCACAAGTCCACTGCTGAACATAGGCCTCCCCCAAAGAATGCCACAAAGCACGGTCCTGAGCCACCTGCATCCATCGACTTCCTGCATATCTTACCAGGTCGTCACTCCATCTAGTGGGGGGACGCCCTACACTTTACCCAACTCACTGTATAGTACATAGTAAAATAATTTAACAGGCTTGCATTCACAATCAGAAATAACGGGTACACTTAAAAAGCATTTCAATCAAGAAAACAAAAATTATCGAAAATTGGGATTTGAACTTCGAATCACTAACTTAAGAAGTCAGATAACATTGACATGATGGTAAATATTTTCTGCAGCCGATAGATATTTTTATTTATATTGTACTCCTTATTTACCATAAATTGCAGAAACATTGTCGTCTCTTAAACTGTTACCGTTCCACCCCATGGATTACTTCATAGGGAGGATATTTGCCATAGTTGCCATGCTTGGCAAGCGGGTTGGCAATCGCAGTTTATTTTTTTATTTTTAGTCATTATTAGAAAGACACTGCTGCCCTTCTCCTGGTTTGTTTTCCTCTGTCGCCTCTTACGACACCTACAGGATGATATGGGGTAATGGATATTCTTTTACCGTCGTTACATTGCACTCTCAGATACATAAAACTGATAGAAATAATGTTGAAAATCCAATTGATTTTTTTTAAATTGATATTTATTTCATATTTGTTTTTATTATATAGATAATAATCATTATTTTTCATGTAAAACAACGTTGCTAAAAATAATTTCTAATTAAAAAAACTTCCCAAAAAATATTTCGTAACAACCCAAAAATAATGTTTACAAGTTTGTGAAGGTAAGGAGTTTTGACTTCTGACGTGCAGTCCTACGTCTGAGAGTTTTTTTATAATTATTTTTTTAAATTGATATCAGGAAGACGTTGAGGCTTCTTACGACACCCACGGGGTAGTGGGTAATCTTACACTGCCACTACTGTTCATATGTCCTAAGGCAATTTATAAATTATGTAAAACGCTTAATGTTTTTTTGTTATAAATGGAAACAATATGTATGATAATATTTACACAATATTTTTTTATAGAATAATAGTGACAAAGAGCACATAGTCAACCGGATGGTAAGTGGATGCTGTGGTCCATAGACATCTTACATTTATCCTAGATTAGGAATCGAAATGCAGAATTCTTGTCACACCTGAGGACTAAGATGGAATGCCTCGTACACTCACCATACGAAACGCAGCAGCATTAAGCTGTTATTTCACGCTAGTATTCTGTGAGAGCGTAGTCATACCATCATTATCTTCTCTTTGTAAGTGAAAATAATAATAAAATATCAACTAAAACTTTTATAAAAATCTTTTTTTTTTATAGGATAGGGTGACAAACGAGCACGCAGTCCACCTGATGGTAAGTGGTTGCTGTGACCCGACCCATAGACATCTACATTTATCCTCAATAAATAATCGAAATGCAGATGCGTCGGCATCCGTGAGGACTAAGATGGAATGCCTCTTTTCCAGTAAAATGTGTTTCTGGTTCTCTACACTCACCATACGAAACACAGCAGTGTCAAGCTGCCATTTTACGCTGGTATTCTGTGAGAATCTACACCTTTTATACCATTAAAAATAATACTATCTGTTAACTAGCATAATCTGTTACATAATAAATGTAGAAGTACGTATATATCTAATAATATAAATAATTACTACATAACAAAACTCTTAATGCATAACTAATTCTTGCACATGCTTTTCTAGGTGGCAGTTTCGGGGGACGAGAAATGGTATGGGCGGTGAGGTCAACCCCCTTTCAGCCCGCGGGAGGAATTTTGGCGGTTGACATTCCGCTTGGTCATTCCCAGAGTCATAATTTTCTGGAGACAGACAGGACGTATGAAAGTAATTGTTTGTGAAGGTGAAGGAATTTGCACTCGCAAAGAGTTTTAGTATAAAACTTAATGGCGTTTTTATAAAAATATATATATTGTAAAACGAAAATTATTTATTTTGTTATCACAAGTAAACGAATCGTATTATCAATTTTGTATTTTTTGTGTGTATTTTTATTTTTATTATCATGGAAGGCTCAAGACTGTTTTGTGACCGTTCTCAGGGGAGGCATGTATTCAGTAGTAGCCTTTTTACAATTACCGTTACAGCTTTCGTACGTGGTAGAGCCACGCTGCAGCTTTACTAGTGGTATAGTTGTAGCACGAATGGGTCGGCTCGACCGAGGTAGGACTACGCTCTCACAGAATACCAGCGCAAAATAGCAGCTTAACACTGCTGTGTTTCGTACGGTGAGTGTAGACAACCGGAGACCCTTTTTACTGGAAACGAGGCGTTCCATCTTAGTCCTCAGGGGTGACAACGCACCTGCATTTAGATTCTTAATCGAGGATAAACGTAGATGTTTATGGGCCACAGCATCCACTTACCATCAGGTGGACTGTGTGCTCGTTTGTCACCCTTATACTATAAACGTCTACTAAAGTCCACTGCTGAACATAGGCCTCCCACACAGATTACCTTATATGACGTTTGATATAGTTGCCTCGTTTGGCAACCGCAGTTTTTTATTTTTAGTCTTTATTAAGAAAACGCTGCTGCCCATCTCCTGATTTGTATCCTTCTCTCGCTTCTTACGACACGCTTGGGATTATAAGGAGTAGTGGATATTCTTCACTACACGGCCTTGTGAGGGGTTGTAATGATTATTTTGATACTTGCAAGGAAAATGGAAAATTGTTCAGCTTCTGTATCAGAAACACAAATGACACAAAAGATTACACCCTAACATCTGGAAATTTACATTTCTGCACATGATTTTGTTAATTTGAATAATAGAATACAACGACGCAGTTACCAGAATGTTATATGTTTATACACAATTGTGTATTATCTATCTTCTATACATATAATAAAACTGTAAATAGCAGATGTCTGTACATTTTATATTTTTGTAATAAAAGTGATTGAGGGGTACTAAAAATAAGTAATTAAATACATTTCTACCATTTTTAGAATTTTCTGTCTGTCTGTCTGTCTGTCTGTTTGTTTGTTAACGTATCACGTATAAAGTACTAATTTATATCATAAGAATTGTTAAGGAAATTATAAAGCGTATCTTAGGGTTACATTTAGTCTTTATTTCATTAAAATCAGTTCATTCCATCAAAAGTTATGATAAATATTCTGAAGTATGGGTAGGGAAGTATAGGTACGAATTTGCTCAACGGTGGCTTTGTTTGAGTCATCAAGTGCATTTTAAACTAATATAATATCATAAATCATAGTTAAATTATGTAAAATAATCATATAATTATGTATATCTAAAACGCAGTAAACAAAAGTATTAAAGAACGTATTAAATATATTATACAAAAATATATTAACCTTATTAACTAAATCTGAAGCACAATAGTTAACCCATTTCTTCGATAGATGGTGGTGTTGTGAAAATGTAATGCAATTGCAATGTGGTTGTTTCCTGTAGATGAGTTTTCATATTTACTGCTAATCTTTATTATATTACTCGCTGCCCTACTGCGTGTTGACAAACTCAATTTATTCTTTACCGCCGAGTACTCTATGTGGTAAATCAAATTTTAAAAGAGCTATTAACAATTGCGTTGGTTTTGGCGAGAGTCAAACTTTATTTTTTGCTTACTGTGGAGGCACTGATTTATAAGTTCTCTTGCGTTTTTTATAATGTATCAATCGCGTCAATTAATCTCTTTTATTTTTAGAATTGATATTAGCAGCGCCATCTCTCTTTAAATATATACATATAATAAAAATGATGATAACATGTTGTGTCTCTTTCTGTACATTGTATATATATTTTGGTGGCTAAAATCATTATGGGGAACTGAAAATAATTAAATAAGAACATTTTATAATTTTTAGAATTGTCTGTCTGTCTATTTGTCTGTTATTATATGAACGCATCACGTCTAAAGTAAACATCTTTTATTTTCAAAGAAATCTTTGAAAATAAAAGATACATTTAATCTTTGTTTTATTAAAATTGGTTAATTCTATCGAAAGTAATGATTATTATTTTGAAATGTAGGTTCGAATTTGTTCAATGGCGCCGTAAAATCTCAGAAATAGTAATAAAAAGATTTGTGTGTAAAAAAACGTTCCATAATAATTAATATATTTATACTTAAAACACAAAAAGAGATTTAAAAAGGATGTTTTCTCACACAAAGGACGTAATAGATGGAGTTGTACAAATTACAAACTTTTCTGAATTGCTGTGTTGAGATTTTTCGCCGATGAATCGTATTGAGACTTACCGAAGAAATTTGTATCCATCGAAGCCATACAACGGAACCCGATCAAAAATAAAAATTTTGCAACGAAATGTCGTGATATTGTATTTATAATATACGAAAAATCAGTACTGCCATTTTAGCGCTTTGGGAACTAGATTTAGCGCTTTTATGGAATGTATAGCGCGCATTTCGAAATTTTAGCACCTAGCTTAATCCAGCGCTTTTTGGTGTATTTAGCACTTTCAATATTTTAGCGACTAGCGGGTTATTAACTCTTTTATAGCAGCACTGTTAGTCCACATTACCGATAATAATAATAATGACCTTTATTATTTTTTCCCACAAATACATTGCAGTTTATCTTTTTCAAACATATTTTTTCCACAAAACAAAGAGCATGGGAGACGAGTCCAAACTAGGATACCCTGTGCTATGGATTTCCTGGCTTCCCCTTTAGGATGATCAACTTGATTTTTTTACCGACGACTATAAGCGGGGAAATTCCCTTTATTAAAGTTTTCGTTCATGGTTTTGGCAACGCATTTATTTTAGTTTATTCAGTTTCAGTCAGTTGCTTAGAGCACAGCTAAGTTAAAAGTTACTTAGAAGTTATAACACAAAGAAACTGTGTAGCAACCGCAATCAGATGCTGACATCTGAAACTAAGTTGCGAAATACATTGCACTTTAAAACAATTAATGACATTTTTATTGTTCGTACAGTACTAACTACTGTTGACAGCAATTGCCATAATTATAAGTCGATGTCCTGCGAAGTATTGATACATCAAAAAAATATTGCCAGAAAAAAAACTTAATGTTGTTTTCTTTATTATGATTACATAAAAAAACACAAACTTTGTTTGTAGTTAATTTAGCGCGAAATCTAGGGCTTTTTTAAAACGCTGTTTTCATGAAATCTAGCGCTTTTTGTGTTGTCCTAGAGCTGAATGAGTTTTTTTTTATCTGGCAGCACTGCCCAAAACCCTCTATTAAGAAGTAACTTTCCTTTCAGTTTTAAGCGCGTTCAGTTCCCAGTTACAGTGAGTGTGTGTTATGCGATGACCGTAAATAAAGCGCAAGATCAAACTTTACGCGTTGTAGGAGTGTACCTTAGTACTGACGGTTTTGCACATGGCCAACTCTATGTTGCTTTTTCCCGCGTTAGTAGCCCCCGTAACCTTTTTGTGTACATCCCGGCTAAGCCTACTTCTAACGTCGTTTACACAGAAGCTCTATCATAAACGACTTAGAACTTTGATGATAATGATTTATTTAGTTACCACTTATTGATACAGTAATAAAATAAATCGTTTAATATTCTCGTACCTAAACGACAAATTCTTTATGTAAAACCTGTATACGCGAGCTACGCCGCGGGCACAGCTAGTACATAATATATACAACACACATTTAGTTTGTTCGGTTATAAAAAAGTCGGTCGCTCAAAGTTGCGAGTAGTAATCCTATTAACATGTAAATTAATTTATCTTGCGTACATATTGGCTATTTTATTTCAATTCATTCATTCATTACAGAGCCGTGGTAGCTCAGATGGTTAGCGTTCGTTGTAAATTTCACAGTACGCGAGCAACCCGGGTTTAATCCCCGCCGACACCAATGAAATTGTTAATTACAATTTTAAGTGCTAATTTACCACGTGCTCGGCGGTGAAGGAAAACATCGTGAGGGAACCTGCATGTCTGAGAAATAAGAAGAAAAAATTCGAAGGCACGTGAAGTTCGCCAACACGCATTGGGGCAGCGTGGCGGACATTTCCTTGCCCTAAAACCCTCTCAGAAATGAGAGGAGGCCTGTGCCCAGCAGTGTGACGTATATAGGCTGTAACTTTAACTTTTATTCATTACAGCCTATTAAAGTTTACACCATATCCACCCCATGGTTTGCCTCATAAGTGATATTTTGCCCCATTTGCTACGCTTGGCAGGCAAATGACAACCAATGTTTCTTATTTTATAGTGGTTCCTACCTGTTACCTATCTCTTAGTTTGTTTCCTTCTATTCTGACGACATCCACGGGACGATATCGGGTAGTAGATATTCTTACACTTCCACCTGACGGTCAATTTGATTTCAGTATTTGGGTATATTTTTATGGAGTTATTTTGTTAATCGGTGAGTTCAATCTGGTTACCTTGACAGCCTCGAACACAGGCGCAATGAAGTCAAACTTTCGGTATTCTACTAATACATTGCGGGGAGTATACGCAGGAATTACGAGACTTAATTCCTCCCTCTCCATCACCATCCATTCAACCATCAGAAAACAGACGCTCAGCAAATCTTCACCCATTCGAAGTCAAACTCGGACCTAACGGTTTGGTCCGTCATTCGTAATGTCTATAGCAATGGTGAGAAATAATTTTTCAGACAATTACAGTGTGGGTGTCATTAAAGCAGGGGTGAATAGGCTTCAATGCGCTTTACTATTATTAGCTACATCACCACTTACCATCGGTTGGCGTAGTAGTTAAGCACAGCAGTTTTATTAGATGAAAAATATGTTATAGGTACTTAATATAAATTAGGGTCTTTGTAAATTAGTGGTTTATTTACTGGTTGAAAATTATGAAGACTAAAGGAAAGAAATGTTACGCAAAATATATTTTG